TCTATTCTATTCTATTCTATTCTATTCTATTCTATTCTATTCTATTCCATTCCATTCTATTCTATTCTATTCTATCCTAAATTGCAATTGACAAGTCAACCTTGAAGTGTTGGTACTTTTGCTAGTTCAAGTGAAGTTGGTGATTTTTTCTTTTTGCGCCTCAGTGTTAAAGAGTCTATCTTGCACAGTATTTCTCCTGTGAGACATTGTTTCTTGATGGTGGGAAATGGCAAATCAAGACAATTCTTGATTAAAACCAGGTAAGGAAGTACATATGCTGGTGGTAGTTCATAATAAGGTTTCTGTTTGCTTTTTGAGCCAACCAGATGTTTTGAAGCTTCAAGTAAACAGTAATCTTTGAGAAGTACAGTTGCAGAAGTATCTCTGTCTTTGGTAGCATCTTTATCTTCAGGTAAACAGGAATCTTTGGGAAGTACAGTTGCAGAAGTATCTCTGTCTTTGGTAGCATCTTTATCTTCAGGTAAACAGGAATCTTTGGGAAGTACAGTTGCGGAAGTATCTCTGTCTTTGGTAGCATCTTTATCTTCAGGAAAACAGGGATCTTTGGGAAGTAGAGTTGCGGAAGTATCTCTGCCTTCGGTAGTAGCATGTTTATCTTCAGGAAAACAGGGATCTTTTGGAAGTAGAGTTGCGGAAGTATCTCTGCCTTCGGTAGCATCTTTATCTGAATCATTTACAAGGACTGCATCTTCACGAAGCATACTAGAGCAGATGGAGTTGGGTTCCTGGAGTTGGTCTTTATCCATTTTTGCAGCTGTCCTTCAAGAACTGCTGGCTGAATAGCATGGAGAAGAGTTGAGTAAGGTTCTTTAGAAGTCATTCTACATAGTTGCTTCACATACACTTAAGTACATAGTTGAGTCACATAACTTAAATACATAGTTGATTCACATACACTTAAATAGTAGTGGTTCTGTTTCAACAATACACATGCACAAATCTAAGTTTATAGTATTCCTTAATTCTCTTTTATCTAGAAACAGATTAAAGACTAATGGACAGATCATCATGGGAAAATATATATCTATATACAGGTAGTCCTCAACTTACAACGACAATTGAGCCCAAATTTATGTTGTTAAGTGAGAAATTTGTTAAGTGAGTTTTGCCCCATTTTACAACTTGATACATTGGTTAAGTGAATCACTGCAGTTGTTAAATTAGCAACACAGTTGTTAAGTGAACCAGGCTTCCCCAGAAGTTTGCTTGTCAGAAGTTTGCAAAAGGTGAACATGTGACCCCAGGACACCACAATCTTCATAAATGCGAGCCAGTTACCAAAGCACCTGAATTTTGATCATGTGACCATGGGGAGGCTGCAACGGTTGTACATGTGAAAAAATGGTCATTAGTCTCTTTTTTCAGTGCCATTGTCACTTTGAATGGTCACTAAATGAAATGTTGTAAATCGAGGACTATCTGTAGCTGTTAAGATTCAACACCAACTTCATGGCACATAATCAGGGCTGGTTGGATTCACATAACAAACTCTGTTAACCACAATGGCTGGGTTTGCACTTGCTGCAGAAGTAGAAACGAATAAGCCACATTGTAGCCCACAGTGTGAAGGGAATGGGAATGGGAATGGAATGGAATCAGGGGTGGGATGCTACCGGTTCTGCCCGGCTCTATAGAACCGGTAGTTCTGAAGAGCAGCAGATACTGTGTTTATGGTTCTGTGTTTACGGTTGTTTGGCCCACCCGCCCACTCAGGCTCTTACCTGTCCTTTATTTCCTGCTTTTTCAACCTCAGCTGCTTTGTGCGGCACAGATGAGGTTGAAAAAGCAGGGAAAAAGCGGCTTTTTGAATGCTGCGCACCTGCGCACAGCGCTTTTCAGCTGTCCAGGCGGCACAGCCTAAGTACACGTGTGTGCAACAAAACGTAATCACCGAACAGGTAATAATGCCCATTGAATCCCACCCCAGAATGGAATGGTATGGTGTGGAATGGAATGGAATGGAATGGAATAGAATAGAATAGAATAGAATAGAATAGAATAGAATAGAATAGA